TGGACCTGTTGCTCCCTGACAGACGTGGCTTCACGGCTGTTCTAAGCCCGTCTAATCCTGCCTCTCATCACTTCTTGCAGCTCTTCCTCTGACAATGCGCCTTTACCGTCCGTGTCGAACTGCTTTAGATAGTCCAGCAATTCCTGCGACAAATTGCAGAGACCATCTCCAAATTGCACATGGTGACAAGGAGCGAGTTGAACCATGTCAAATCTTAATAAATGACAGCAAGCTTGGTGCATCTCTCATGGGTCGTCAGGTTGCTGGGCCTGAACTTTCGGAATCAGCTTTCCCAATTCCTCCTGCATGGCAGTTTGATGCAGTTTGCGGGCTAGAAATCCAAGGATCTGACCCCTGTATCCACCATGGGGGTTCCGTGGGATTTCACCAAGCCTTTCAACAACTTCTGCCCTGGCTGGATCTTTGAGTCTTTAAGACACCCAAAAAGAGTTGCTTCATTTCTGAAACATTTGCAAGAGCGACATCAGACTTCTCACACACATAAAGCTTCATCAAGCACCCCGGTTCATCTCAGTCCTCTATGAAACGGTGAAACATCTTTTGGTCAATGTATTTTGGACCACCGAGATCTGCCAAATGCTTTTTGACCTCATTGCAAAAGCAGGGAGATAGAAATGATAGAAACACTTCAACAGTTTATGAACATTGACACGAGAGGGAAGCAATAGTCTCAATAGTCTCAAGGCTATTACACAACAGCAGTTGCCGTCAAAGAACCTCATCTTCCGTGGGCTTCATCCCAAGAATAGCCATGGCATGTCCAAGTCGTTCCGCGGGAACTCCAGAAGGCTGGGAGAAATATCTGAAGACCGCGTTCGTGGAAGCGATGATGTCGTTGAACATCGTGCTGTAGGCCTTGGCAAATCGATCCCAGACCACGCATCTGGGGGCTGCTCATTTCTTGGTGGAGAACATGTGCAATTCAAAACACTTTGATTGAAAACACTGACATGTCTTCAGGTCAAACAGGGCGGGGTCTCGGGGAAGAGACTTTGTTCACATGATTTATGTATATATAATTTGGTAGGACCAGTGGCTGCTAAACATCCCTACAAAAAGCGGTGCTCGGAGGGTGGCCGGGGAGGGTGGCAGGGAGGGCGGCGGGGTTCACCAATTATTGGTGCAACTTTGGGTGCGCAAAAAGTTCTCTCTCCTTAAGTTTTTTGATGTTTGACGCCCGCACCAATATTTTGTCTACGTTTTTCATGAGTTCTTTTCAGCCTCCGCGCGCTTTGCCTGCCCGTTACTGTGTCTTGAACACTTTCCTTCAGAAATGCAAAATTTGCAAAATGGATTTGAAGCAGGAAAATCCGAGCATCAAGGAAATTCTTTGGTCCCGGAGAAGTCGTTGATAATTCTTAATGCGGTCCCCGCTTGGACAAAATTAAAGAAAACAACTTTACAGTGACGGGTTTTGATTATGCAATCAAAGATGTTGATTTGCCATGTCTGCCTGATTGCTGGTGAAATTTTCTTCGCATCACTGAGCCCCAAGTGCAGCAACTTCAGCGTACTCTCTCCTTCTTCAAATTATTCGTGCCAAAACCCGTTTCCGGGAAACGGAGACACACCAAATAGTTTGGGTTCTAGATTTTTTTCCGTCAGTGGAATTGCTTAAAGGGTATAATTATACTGTACAAATGCGGCTAAAAAATGCAGGCAAGCAACTATAAAGAATATAAGCTTCGATGGTATCCCCAACAGCCGCAACGTTTTATTTACTGTAATTTTTACAAATCTTTCAGAAACGTGCTGCCAAACCAAGCGCTGGAAACCCTTTGAACCTGTTGGAACCTGACCTGGCCCTGCACCAAAGATTCCCCCAAAACCTTCTCCGGGACCTTCTCTGCAACCTTCTCCGGGACCCGTTGAACCTGACTTGACTTTGCACCAAGGCTTCCCAAGAGCTTCTCCGGAACCTTCTCCGGAACCCTGTTGAACCTGACCTGGCTCTGCACCAAAGCCTCCCGGAACCTTCTCCGGAACCTTCTCCGCAACCCTCTTGAACCTGACCTGGCGCCTCCCAGACCTTCTCCGGAACCTTCTCCGGAACCTTGTTGACCTGACTTGGCTTTGCACCCGATTTCCGGAACCCTGTTGAACCTGACCTGTCTCTGCACCAAATCCCAAACCTTCTCGGGAACCTTCGGAACCTTCTCCGGAACCTCGTTGAACCTGACCCGGTGCCTGCACCAGTGCACACCGGAGCTATTCTGGGCTGAAGACCCCGTCAGCTTACGCTGTTGGGGAAAAACTGTGGACCTTTGCGCTGATCCATGTTGGATAAAATCTGTGGAAGTTCAAGATACTCGGTCATGGAAAATCGATTGAGACGAGAATACAGAACATCGGTAAAAACAATGGAATAACCGATGAAACCATATATATATATACACATGGAAAACTCCGTAAAAAGCTCGAAATCAATGAAAACCATCGAAAATCATCGAAAAATCGATGAAAACCATCGAGAAATTGCTGAAACCCAGTGAGAAATCTATGAAAACCATCAAGAAATCGAGAAAAACAACAAAAAATCGAGTTTAACATGGAAAATTGGTCCGAGCCAGCTTGACTGCTTCCAAAAATGCGAGATCCGCGCTGATCCGCGCTGATCCACGCTGATCCGCGTTGATCCGCGCTGTTCCGCGCTGATCCGCGCTGATCCGCGCTGATCCGCGCTGATCCGTGCTGATCTATAAGCAAGAATACGCAAGAATTTAGCGCGGATCAGCGCGGATAAGCGCGGCCCAGCGCGGATCAACGCGGCCCAGCGCGGCCCAGCGTGGATCAGCGCGGATCAATGCGGATCAGCGCGGATCAGCGCGGATCAGCGCGGCTCAGTGCGGATCCGCGCGGATCAGCGCGGATCAGCGCGGATCAGCGCAGCCCAGCGCTGATCCGCGGCGGATCAGCGCGGAACAGCGCGGAACAGCGCGGACCAGCGTGGACCAGCGCGGAACAGCGCGGATCAGCGCGGATCAGCGAGTTCTAAGCGCGGATCAGCGCCGATCAGCGCGGATCAACACCCATCAGCGGGCATGGAGATCTTCCATAGAAGCCCAGGGTAAGTGAGATGTGAACATGGAATAGCACCAAGCATGGTCACTATCATTGTGTTTTTTGATTTTTGTCAAGGAACAAAGTTTTTCCTTTACGCCCATGGGTGCTACATCTCATGCGCCGTCGGCTTGATGTCTTGCTGCTCTCTGCCACCCGTCCTGCACCTCAAAATACCTCAAATCAATAGCTTTGATGCCCTCCTAATACCCTCTTCAGCCACCTGTCAGGCACCAAAAATCAATAGTTTTCATCCCCCCTCATCCCTCTCAGCCGCCCCTCGTGCACCACTAATAGCACTGATGCCTTGCCACCTTTTTCCGCCACCCTTCCTGCACCACAAATCATAGGTTTTGGTATCGGTTTGCTCTTCCAGATGTTTAGCAGGCAGTGGGTCTCTCAATATATAATATATAATGCTAACTAATGATGCAAAAACTGCAGCACAAATCTCAGCAACCATCAGAGTTGTCCACTTTAGCAATGTGTAGATTGAAGGTCTTGCAGGTGTATCAAATTCCTTCCTTCTTCAAAGTCCAATTAAAGTGATTGAACGCTTCTCCCGGAATATTGCAGTGTTGCCGCAAGACTTTGCATCTGCCTTGAAATCAGTAAGAAGCATTGAACATCTATCAGAACCGACGGATCTGAATCTTTTCATGAGAAAAGCCTCTGAGCAAGAACAGATTTGCTCATTCTTCTACCGGAAAGCCGGGTCCCCATCCAGCTGGGTATTCTGTATCTCAGTAGTCAGTAGTCCCACTCCTGAGCCTCCAAACTGCTGGGCCACTGGCGCTCTCCTGTCTTCCACCAAAAGAAGGAACCCCTTTTTGAAAGACCGCCCAACTGCACCGAATTCAATTGTCAACTTTGCAGCATGACCAGCCAACGGCTACTGTAGAAGCTCAAAGCACCAAAGCTTCAAATCCTCCAGCTCCCGCATGTGCCTCGGCATCAGCTGATACATCATCTTTGACCACCTTGCAGCGCAGTCACATCCACTGTTTTGGTCCAGTGAACGGAGAAAAGGCTAAACTCAGCATGTGGACATGTGCCAAATGTGCTTGCTTTGATAGTGAAAGAAGTGTCTATAGTCTATATGTGGTAAAGTGTCTCACATGGCCGCAAGTGACTGCAATTTTGAGATTCAAGCTGAGATCAATGTTATCTTGAATGAAACGTGCAGAAGTCTAAAGCAACAAAGCTCTAGCCCCTGGCCATTCATGCCTGAATTTCGACTGCTTTGCTATCTGCTTCGCTCGCAGATGCTCTCTCTTTCTCTGCCTTGCAACTGACTTGTCAGGCCTTGAAACTACGTGCTGAGAAAAAGTAAGGTCTTGCTGCTCCACTGCTACATGTTTCCATTTCCAAACCACACCAGGTCCACTGCTGTTTTTGTCGGCCACAATCAGAAGTGGCGCTTACAGACTCTTGCCTAAGATAGTCTGGTGCGTTGATTCGAATTGATGTCTGGTTGTTTCTGGTTGAAGGTTGAATCACCTGGGCTAAGAGCGCCAGCCATGAGAACAATTCTGCCATGACCTGAAAACATCATGAAGTATTTTCCCATGTCTATTCTGTCGGAAGAAATACACGTGCGAACATCTTCTTAACCTTGATTCATGAGAAGAAAATTGGAAAACAGTGAACTACTGCGAAAACCAAAGACACATATTTCGCTATACAAGTGGAGAAAATGAATTCTGTTTGTTGCTTTGTCGTTCCCGGTGTACATCAGGCTGTCCTCCTGAATCTAAACTCAATGCAAGAAAGAAATGAAGGAAATGAAGCACTATGTTTTGATTTTGTCACAAAATACGTATAGATTTCGATAGCAAACCATCGTAGGATATCGTAAGTCAATTCCCACCGGCGATTCCCCCAATGGCTGCCATGGCTGCCTCCGATGGCTCAAGCATGTCCTGCGGTGGCTCAAGGGATGACAAGACCAGCCGCATGAGCCCCAATAAGATATGCCCTCAGTCGACCAAAAAAATTGTGATCCCAAAGAAACTGATTTCTGGTCGTGTGATGTAGACAAGGGATGACAAGGGATGACAAGGGTAATGTACCGAGAGCCGCCTCAGAGTCACCCAGCTCCAGAAAACACGTTGCCAGCTCCACAATATCCAGCTGACCTTTACCTCCGTCAAAACGAAATGGGGTCCTTCTCTTGGAGAATGGGTAAGGCCCAGAAAACCATGAGTTTGATTCATGTTTGAACATTCACCATCCATCTTGTTGGTGGTACCAATCGACCAGAGCACAGAATGGAAATTGTGCACTTCATGACCTGGCAACTTGCGAAGATGTGGTGAACGGATGTGGATACTGGCTTACTGGACCTGGCAACTTGCGAAGATGTGGTGAACGGATGTGGATACTGGCTTACTGGTTCCATCCAACACTTTGGCTAACGTTCAGCTTGCAGCTTCCATCCGAGTTGCTGTTACTTGCCATCTTTGCGACACTTGCCTCGCGACCCAGCGGAATCCCAAGCTGTCTAGGACTCTGCGAGTCGCTGGTGGTGAGAAGAAACCGTGGTGAACGCAAGGCCGGAGTCTCTTCAGCTTCTGAAGAAAGACTAAGACACATCTCCTTTCCCTTAATAAAGGGACTGAAAAACACTGAGCTACAACCAAAAACAAGTGTGTCACTGAACAAGTGAAAAAGTGATTTTGGTTGTTGCTTTGGCGTTCCAGTTGCAGACCCTCGCTACTGCAGCTGCTGCAAGTTCTGATTCCCCAGCAAGCCTGGAGCTTCTTCTGGCTCAGCTCACTTCCTGGACGCAAAATGTCCGATTTCAACCCACTGTACTGAAAGAGTCCATAAAACAATATCATGTCAAATATATGTCAACCATGTATAAAATCCCAAAGCACCCGGGCATCAATCAACCTAGCATTCATTCGCTCTCTGAAAATTCCATCATTCGATACATCCCGGAATACATCCGATGGAAATCCTTTCCTGACACTTCTGATCTCACCGCGCCTCTGATCGCTGCTTGAACTTCTTCAGTGGACAAGGCGCCCTTGTTGTCCGTATCATATTGCTTCAAATAGTCAACCACAGCCTGCGCATCTCACAAGCACCACATACCAGATCATACCAGTAGTCTCTGAAATCCGCAAAAATTTGGCAGCTTTAGATCTCAAGGAGTCATTACAGTTTGGCCCAGGTGCAAAGGCAATCAATTTGGTTGTCGTCATTTGACTGGCCTGAACCTGTTCGAGATACTTTGTCAATTCGTCCTGTGCCGTGCAGCTATGCAAAGCTGAAAGAGAATCGGTGAAACATGGTGAAACAACAGGAAAATCAAGCATTCTCAAGGCACAATTGGCACACTGTTCTCACACGAATGAAACATCATGAAACATGAAACTTCACGAAGAAAAACCAGACTTGGACCATTCCACTGTCCGAGTGTCCTGGATGAAACGGTGAAACGTCGCTTGGTCGATGTATGGGCGACCAAGATCTGCCAAGTGTTTGTAGACCTTGCGGAAGCTCAAAACCCAAAGGGACAGTTCAACAGACCAAACATGACCAAACTGTCAGGAGGTCCAGGGAGGTGCGATTTCCTCAAAACCCAAAAGCCTCAATCTGCGGCCAAAGATCCTGATCCTCCGTGGGGTTCATCCCCAGGATCCGCATGGCCTGCCCGAGGCGTTCCGCCGGAAGTCCTCGAACTCCATCGCTGAAGTGCCCGAAGACCAGGTCGATGGAACTCATGATTTCGTCGTACAGCTTGCTGTGGACCTCGGTGAAGTCCCCCCACTGAGGGTCCATCTCGGTCAGCCCAAAGACACACAGGGAGGGTAGGAATACGAGAGATGGCAGGCTCAACATCAGAGTCTGAGGAAGATGCGTTTGCAACCACTGACCGCCCGTACAGAAATAGCGGAAACCACGAAAGATGAGCTTGGAATATGGTTCTCTGTTCCCAAATCTGGTGCAGAATTTGAATTCTTCTGGTGGCAAAAACCTCCAAACCAACAACCTTGCTGCGTGCAGTGTGAGAACCTCGAAGCCAAGCAAGCTAGTGAAGACCTTATCAAAAGTGCCAGCACCATGCAACACGCTTCCAGCCCCTCACCTTTTCCTAAGCCTCCCAACTTCCGGGCTGGTGTGCTCCTGTCAACCATACGGCTTCACGAACATGTCTAGCAAATGTCAACATGTTTTATGACACCAAGCTCCTGGGCGGTCGGCATAATGCCACTCCCTCAGAAAATGCATAAGCTGAGGCTGAATGAAGACACTTTGCAAACATCAGCAGTGCGACTTGATTCCGTCGTAGTTTGGCGGACACCAAAGATTCTTCTGAATCCAAGACAGATGATTGGAAATTTTATTGATGTGAATGGGAAATCAACCACAGGAATCGGACAATAACGTTGCATCCATCACTCAATAGGTAATACTGTACGAAGGGTGGGGTTTGGGCCGGCGCACACGTTTCAACTCAACTATTGAAATGCAATCAAAACACAGAGCCAAAAACACCAAATAGATCCAAATAGATCCATAGATCATGCCATGTTCAGCAAACCTTCCAGCCAAAAAGTTCAACAACAAACGTCCGAGGGTGATTTCGAAAGCCTAAGACCGCGACATCCTTCTGTTTGGTCCGCCTGCGAAAACGCGCAGAGTGACAACCTCATCTCTTTAAAGAAACTGTCAACACGCCATGAGCAAATCTCGCCCCAAACCTCGAGCTGAACGCCAAAAAAATTTAAGTTTGACATGAAAAAAATGCAAAAATGACCAAATGATACTAAATGTTACTTTCGTCTTGAAAACAAACAGCTTACTTGGCTTACTTTGCTTACTTTGGCCATTTCTTCAACCAGTCGAACTTGAACCTGTTGAAACAGCAGTTGCTGGATCTTAATCTATAAATGAACTCCAAATGAACAAACAAACGGCCCACGTCACTCTGCCCACGATACCCGTGTGCACCTCAGCAGTAGCTGACACAGCACGTTTGGCCTCGCCATGTAGGTCAAAATGTTGTACGGCTGAGGTGCAACATGGTGCAACCACACCACAAATACGCAGCACGGGGACACAAGCGACAACCACTCAAAGTGGGAGACGAGGCAAAGGCAATCAAAGGCACTGGCTCAAAAAATACTAGAGAATAGTACAGATATGTACAGACATGTACAGACAATAAAATGATTTAAAATGATTGTGTGAATCAGCTCTGCCACTCAGAAGCTCTTGTGGGCCTGAGATGAGCCGCCAGAGCCCATGACTTTGATGTCCTGGGAGTCGACAACTCGACAACTCCACCACCACCAAAATTTAAAAACCGGAAGTGTTCATGACCTACGATGATCTACGGGAAAATCATGACATTTGTGCCATGACTCCCTGGGACCCCTATTGATCATTCGTATGTAGGGGATATGTGGGGATCTCTCGAGGTGTCGCCTCAATGTTTCAAGGTCTGACGTATGACGTGTTTGTCCCGACCTATATTGCAACTGCTGGCCAAAAAAATCAAAAAAGAACGGGAGAAATGTCGATTTCTCAAGATTTCTCAAATTGAAAATATGTCGAGATGTCGAGTGTGGTGATCTAGGCCTGACATGGCCTGACATGGCCTGACAAGCTAAGGCAGCTGGGATCGGATTGCCCGTCCTTTAAGGAGGTCGACTCGGCGGTGAAACGCCTCGAAACGCAGAGACTAAACCTGAACTGTTTGGGAAACGGATGCAACATGAAACCAATGGAAACACTGGAAAACCCCTGGGGAAAGACTGAAAATTGCATGAAAGTGCATCATTGGACCTGAGATTGCAATGGAAATGCAATGGAATCTACAATGTGGAATCATGTGGAACCAATATGAGCCTCAGCAAGAATATGTACCGTAGTACCGCTGAGAGGACTGTCAGCAATCTGCGGGACAACTTGCCCTATGCACTTCCAGCTGCGGCTCCGCGCTCTGGCTTTGCGCTGTTCCAAAGCCAAATAGGGTGAGCTCGGAATCGCGTTCAAAGAAAACGACAGAGAAAAACTTGTGACAAGTGAGAAACCCAAGCTGCTACGGCGAGTTTGGAATCTTTGTTTGACGTCTTTCCAGTGTTTGTTCCTCTGCGGACGATCTTTGCTGCGCAATGTTGAGCTGCAACCTGCACCATGGGGGCCACCTGGATCATCCCGGAGTCCCCCAAAAAATGGCACTGCTTTTGATTTTTGGCGACCAATGGATCCACCAAATGAATCACCGAAAAACCATTGGGAGAATTTTTGCGCCAATTTTGGAATGACCTTCCATTTTCTTTGCAATTTTTGGAGCTGCAAACTGCAACAAGTCGCAAAGAAGGCCCAACTGAGAATCGTCCGTTCGGGTCCCTCAAATACTGAACAAATGAATCCGTATCATTTCTGCCACTTCTTGCCAAAGTCCTCAAACGCAATGCACAGCACGATGCAAGATGTGTGTTGATCCCAAACATACAATTGCTTGGGAGGTCTTCGGAAGGTTTCACTCTAGTGAGGTCCTCAGAACTTGTTGGGCCGGCCCGTGGCATCAGCCGAGTTTGATTTCCCAATAAGGACTCTCAAAGTATCCCATCAAAAGTGCTGCCCAATTTGGGCATCCCAAAGCACATCGCTTGGAAAAAAATGACATGAAACGCAAGGTCCGCATCCACTGCAACCGGAGCAACCCTTTTTTCTCAGCGACGAGCAACGGTCGCCGGCTGTGGCGATCAAACAGCAAACGGCGTGCTCAGCAACAGCCGGGTTTGGGTTTTCGCATGCCTCTGGCGCACCACACTCTAGGGGGATCATTGTGATGGTCATCAAAAGTCATCCACCAGACCTATCTATTTATGTAGATATACATACATTTACATGTTTTAATTTAAGCCATCATGTTTATCCACATTGGGGTAATTGATTTTGGATGGCATGTGGGAAACTATATATAAAATATACGTTTGCTAACAGAAATAATATTCAAATACATTTATATACATGTAGATACATATATATATATTAGTATAATATATATATTGGTTGAAGGGATGATAATTTTGTAATTACGCTGTATTCAGTTGTATAAAGGTATTGTCCGCTCCCAGAAGATCCAGAAGCACAAGAACAAATTCTCACCATGGAACGACCCGAATGGCGCATCCTGGACTTTCAACCAGCGAACCATCGCTTCCTTGCTATCCGTCATCTTTTCGCTTCTTGGTGATGATTGTGAATTCACCAAATATTTCCAAGGGCAACCCCACAATCCTTTGTTGCCTTAGATTCTTGTTGGATACGCCACAGTGATTCATCCTGAGCAGTGCTATAGCGGTTCCATGGGGTGAAAACAAGTTAAATGGAGGCAAACCACCGGTTATGGGTCAAAACCCGTCAAAACCCTCCTGTTCTCACCAAAACAGCTGGGAATTAAGGATGTTCATCCCCCAAATCATCATATTGACGGTTATATATATAATACAATATATGATATATGTATTATACAATTATACCGGTATGTCCTCTATTCCATTATACCACCATTTTTGGCTAAATCCTCATCAAATCAATGCCTTGGTCTTTGCAGAGCTCTTGGTTTTCTGCTCCCGCTGCATCTCCGACCATATCCTAGGTCGTTTTTGTTGAGCGGTGGTTAGTTTTCTGACATGGCCACGTTGACTCATGGAACATCGTCGATATTCAATCTTCCTGGTTGACTTCCCTCGAAACTTGAAGTGCAAAAAAAAACCTAACAACTCTTGCGACACTGGATATTTGGGGCATCTAAATCCTGTCACTCGTTTAGAAGGTGGCAAGTCCAGAAATGAGGCCCGCAATGCTGGGTGACCATGCATGGCAACTCCAAAAAGTGATTCGAGTAGAAACTATGGTCACTACCAACTCAGGAGTACAAGCTTAGATACTCATCTCGCGAGTAGCCCAACAGTTGTTGCTGGGACCTCCATCATTAGATATCTGTAGAATCAGAAAGTACAGTGACTCGAAGTCGTGTTTCATCACAGCTGGATATGGCGACATCATCTCACCACATCTCCAAGATTCTCATCCATATCAGCCATGCCAAGGAAGGGAAAGGCGGGAAGTACTGTGGTTTCTGCTGTTGTGCCGAGCTTGCGGGAATGTCCCGTCCATCAGATCCCAAGAAATGGAAAGATATCGATGTTTCAAAGGGGACACGTTGGAAGATCTGTCTTGCAGCCTTGCAGGTCGTATTCAAAAATGTCTGCTATTTTTCTCCATTCAACGTAGACATTTTAAAAATGTTGACATTTCAGTGGACAGCAACTGTTGTTTTTGACCATTTAAATGGTATTTTGCAGAACCAAACGCAGTCAGTGGCTGTCATGTCCGTGTCGACTTCGGAATGTCCTGATGATCCTGAAGGTAAGCTATGGCAGTCCATTGCTATGGAGGTTTCCATCAATGGAGCCCAAAAAAGCTGGATGGTTTATTTCATGGAAAATCCCATCTATAAATGGATGACAACTGGGGGTACCCTATTTTAGGAAACCCCCATATAGTACTAGCAGGGTTTTTGTGAACAAGACTTTTAAATTCGTCCTCAACAACCCCACTATATACTATATAATTACTGTACTGGTGTAAGATTTTGAAATCACGCAGTTCAAAACCCTTCGTGTGTTTTCTGTTGTTTGGCCCCCACTTATGCGTGTCAATACTTCCTTTTTCCCACTTGTGGCATCCAGAATTACAAAAAAACCTCCTGATTCGAACCATTTGGGCGCCATTATACCAACTAGGCCGCATACCCAATAAACCACAGATTGGGAATGGTTTTTTGCGGATTTTTTGGGACACAAAAATCTTTGCGATCGCCATTCCAGGTCGAAATTCCCAATCTATCTATCTTTGGACCGAAAAAAGATCAAATCGTGCATTGGGGCATCTCACAAGTCACAGGTGCTCTAGATCAACCAAAGATGATCATGATTAAACAATAAACATGTAGGTCTCGCACACTCAGGAGCAAGCAGACTGTCCCTCCGCGTCCCCTTGGAGTTGACTTTTGAGGCTCTGCTCAGCTGAGATCTCTATAGAATTCAATGTCGAGCTCGAAACCCATCTTCTTCTTTTCCTCGATCACTTGCTTTAAGGCCTGGCTGTGCGCAGTGCCCTTTTCTTCGCTGGATGGCACTATGACGTCCCCCACAGCGCTCGCCCTCAGCACCCTCAGCACCCTCAGCACCCTCAGCACTCTTCAGTCAGGGTCAACAGAATCTGAACCTCAACACCAAGAATAAGCAGAGGCACCATGAGCAGCCACTTGGAATCCCGGGACACAAAAGGCCTTCACTCCTTCATCGCCGATGGAATTGCATTGCAGTTTGATGCTTGTCACGGAAGTGTTCGTCTTCAAAGCTTCAGCCAGTGCCTGGCCGAAGGGAAAGCGACATGGAAGTAGATCAAGGCTGACATCCGTCAGACATGGTGAAATACAAATGAGACACAACTCTCAGTTTCCGACTCCGAGTTTCCAAAGAACAAATCCCACTGGATTCAGGGGATTATGTCTTTGACACAGAGATGCACTTCCAGCCAATATCATGCCAATATCCCAGTAGAAAGCATACCATGCATACCACATCATACCACACAGAATGAATTCAAGTCAAAAAGAAATTCACCCACTTCACTGACAGCCAATAAGATTCGAAACCTGGAAATGCGAAGGATGAGCATGAGCAGACTACAAAGCCTTTCAACAACCTGGCGACAAAGACATCCTGAGCAGCCACTTGGAATCCCGGGACACAAAAGGCCTTCATTCCCTCAGCGCCAATGGAATTGGCAGACAGGCCGATGCTTGTCACGGAAGTGTTCTTCTTCAAAGCTTCAGCCAGTGCCTGGCCGAAGGGAAAGCGACGTGGAAGAAGCTCAAAGCTAACATCTGTGAGACCTCATGAAATACAAAGGAGACAAAACTCTCAGTTTCCGACTCTGAGTTTCCAAAGAACAAATCCCACTGGATCTAGGATTCAGAGCAAATGTCGTTTACAGAGGTGCATTCTCCGCCAATATCATGCCAATATCCCAGTAGAAAGCATACCACATCATACCACACAGAATGAGCAGCCACTTGGAATCCGGGACACAAAAGGCCTTCACTCCCTCAACGCCGATGGAATTGTTGAACAAATTGATGCTTGTCACGGAAATGTTCGTCTTCAAAGCTTCAGCCAGTGCCTGGCCAAAGGGAAAGCGACATGGAAGTAGATCAAGGTTGACATCTGTGAGACGTCATGAAATACACATGAGACACAACTCTCAGTTTCCGACTTTCCGACTTTGAGTTTCCAAAGAACAATTCCCACTGGATTCAGGGCAAATGTCTTTGACACAGAGATGCACTTCCAGCCAATATCATGCCAATATCCCAGTAGAAACCATACCATGGATACCACATCATACCACACAGAATGAGTTCAAGTCAAAAAGAAATTGACCCACTTCACTTACAGTCAACTAAATTTGAAAACCTGGAAATGCATGGAAATGCGAAGGATGAGCATCAGCAAACTACAAAACCTTTCAACAAACTGGCGACAAAGACACCATGAGCAGCCACTTGGAATCCCGGGACACAAAAGGCCTTCACTCCCTCAGCGCCAATGGAATTGTCAGACAGGGCGATTCCTGTCACGGAAGTGTTCGTCATCAAAGCTTCAGCCAGTGCCTGGCCGAAGGGAAAGCGACATGGAAGTAGATCAAGGTTGACATCTGTGAGACGTCATGAAATACAAAGGAGACACAACTCTCAGTTTCCGACTTTCCGACTTTGAGTTTCCAAAGAACAATTCCCACTGGATTCAGGGCAAATGTCGTTGACACAGAGATGCACTTCCAGCCAATATCATGCCAATATCCCAGTAGAAAGCATACCATGGATACCACAACATACCACACAGAATGAGTTCAAGTCAAAAAGAAATTGACCCACTTCACTTACAGTCAACTAAATTTGAAAACCTGGAAATGCGAAGGATGAGCATCAGCAGACTACAAAGCCTTTCAAAAAGCTGGCGACAAAGACAAAATGAGCAGCCACTTGGAATCCCGGGACACAAAAGGCCTTCACTCCTTCATCGCCGATGGAATTGCGACCCAGGTCGATTCTTGTCATGGAAGTGTTCTTCTTCAAAGCTTCAGCTAGTGCCTGGCCAAAGGGAAAGCGATTGGAAGTAGATCAAGGTTGACATCTGTGAGACCTCATGAAATACAAAGGAGACAGTCTCAGTTTCCGACTCCGAGTTTCCAAAGAACAATTCCCACTGGATTCAGCCCATCCTCTCTTTTTACCCAACCTCCACTCCACTCGGCTCCCCTCCAGATTCTTTTTCTTCTTACTCTCTATCCCCCTCTGCTCTTCCATACTCCTCCCTGTCTCGATTACTCTTCCCTTCCACCCTGATCGAGATCTCCATGATCTCGACTACACCTCCTACTTCCGCCTCTTTCCCCCCTTTACTTCCCTCTCAGTTTATTCTCTTGACGTGATTCCATTTTGCTTATGCCTTGTTGTGCCTGCTCTTCATCGGCCCCACTGGATTCAAGGCAAATGTCGTTTACAGAGATGCACTTCCAGCCAATATCATGCCAATATCCCAGTAGAAACCATACCATGGATACCACATCATACCACACAGAATGAGTTCAAGTCAAAAATCAATTCACCCACTTCACTTACAGTCAACTAACTAAATTTGAAAACCTGGAAATGCGCTGGCGACAAAGACACCATGAGCAGCCACTTGGAATCCCGGGACACAAAAGGCCTTCACTCCCTCAGCGCCAATGGAATTGTCAGACAGGGCGATTCCTTTCACGGAAGTGTTCGTCATCAAAGCTTCAGCCAGTGCCTGGCCGAAGGGAAAGCGACATGGAAGTAGATCAAGGTTGACATCTGTGAGACGTCATGAAATACAAAGGAGACACAACTCTCAGTTTCCGACTTTCCGACTTTGAGTTTCCAAAGAACAATTCCCACTGGATTCAGGGCAAATGTCGTTGACACAGAGATGCACTTCCAGCCAATATCATGCCAATATCCCAGTAGAAAGCATACCATGGATACCACAACATACCACACAGAATGAGTTCAAGTCAAAAATAAATTGACCCACTTCACTTACAGTCAACTAAATTTGAAAACCTGGAAATGCGAAGGATGAGCATCAGCAGACTACAAAGCCTTTCAAAAAGCTGGCGAAATAGACACCATGAGCAGCCACTTGGAATCCCGGGACACAAAAGGCCTGTGCTCCCTCAGCGCCGATGGAATTGCCAGCCAGGTCGATGCTTGTCACGGAAGTGTTCTTCTTCAAAGCTTCAGCTAGTGCCTGGCCAAAGGGAAAGCGACTTGGAAGTAGATCAAGGTTGACATCTGTGAGACCTCATGGAATACAAAGGCGACAGTCTCAGTTTCCGACTCTGAGTTTCCAAAGAACAATTCCCACTGGATTCAGGGCAAATGTCGTTGACACAGAGATGCACTTCCAGCCAATATCATGCCAATATCCAAGTAGAAAGCATACCAGACATACCGCATCATACCACACAGAATGAGTTCAAGTCAAAAAGAAATTCACCCACTTCACTGACAGTCAGCCAAAATTGGAAACTGGAAATGCGAAGGATGAGCATGAGCAAACTACAAAGCCTTCCAAAAAGCTGGCGACAAAGACACCATGAGCAGCCACTTGTAATCCCGGGACACAAAGGGCCTTCACTCCCTCATCGCCGATGGAATTGTGAACCAGGTCAATGCTTGTCACGGAAACGTTCGTCTTCAAAGCTTCAGCCAGTGCCTGGCCAAAGGGAAAGCGACTTGGAAGTAGATCAAAGCCGACATCTGTGAGTCTGTGAGACCTCATGAAATACAAAGGAGACACAACTCTCAGTTTCCGACTCCGAGTTTCCAAAGAACAAATCCCACTGGATTCAGGGCAAATGTCGTTTTCTCAGCTACATTTCCAGCCAATATCATGCCAATATCTCAGTAGAAAGCATATCACATCATACCACACAGAATGAGTTCAAGATAGTTCAAGACAAAAAGCAATTCACCCACTTCACTCACAGTCAACTAAATTTGAAAACCTGGAAATGCGAAGGATGAGCATCAGCAAACTACAAAGCCTTTCAAGAAGCTGGCGACAAAGACACCCTGAGCAGCCACTTGGAATCCCGGGACACAACAGGCCTGTGCTCCCTCATCGCCGATGGAATTGGCACCCAGCTTGATGCTTGTCACGGAAGTGTTCTTCTTCAAAGCTTCAGCTAGTGCCTGGCCAAAGGGAAAGCGACTCGGAAGTAGATCAAGGTTGACTTCTGTGAGACGTCATGAAATACAAATGAGACGCAACTCTCAGTTTCCGACTCCGAGTTTCCAAACAACAATTCCCACTGGATTCAATGCAAATGTCGTTTTCTCAGCTACATTTCCAGCCAATATCATGCCAATATCCCAGTAGAAAGCATATCACATCATACCACACAGAATGAGTTCAAGATAGTTCAAGACAAAAAGCAATTCACCCACTTCACTCACAGTCAACCAAAATTGGAAACTGGAAATGTGATGGATGAGCATGAGCAGACTACAAAGCCTTTCAACAACCTGGCGACAAAGACACCCTGAGCAGCCACTTGGAATCCCGGGACACAAAAGGCCTTCGCGCCCTCAACACTGCCGATGGAATTGCCCCACAATTCAATGCTTGTCACGGAAGTGTTCTTCTTCAAAGCTTCAGCTAGTGCCTGGCCAAAGGGAAAGCGACTCGGAAGTAGATCAAGGTTGACTTCTGTGAGACCTCATGAAATACAAAGGAGACACAACTCTCAGTTTCCGACTCCGAGTTTCCAAACAACAATTCCCACTGGATTCAAGGCAAATGTGCTTTACAGAGGTGCATTTCCAGCCAGTATCATGCCAATATCCCAGTAGAAAGCATACCACATCATACCACACAGAATGTGTTCAAGTCAAAAAGAAATTCACCCACTTCACTCACAGTCAACAAGAGTTAGAACCTGGAAATGCGAAGGATGAGCATGAGCAAACTACAAAGCCTTTGAACAAACTGGCGACAAAGACACCCTGAGCAGCCACTTGGACTCCCGGGACACAAAAGGCCTTCACCCCCTCATCGCCGATGGAATTGTTGAACAGGTCGATGCTTGTCACGGAGGTGTTCGTCTTCAAAGCTTCAGCTAGTGCCTGGCCAAAGGGAAAGCGACATGGAAGTAGGCTGAAATCTGTTCCAGAAAGGATACAATTCAATCATTGCCAAGTATTTAAACAAGGGTGGTCGTCCCATGTCTAACTCAGTACAAACCACATGCGGCAAAAATTGTCCAGAGAATCAACAAATGCGTATCCTGAAAATCTTGGTTCGACAACAGTACTTGGAACTGTTCAGCAAATGTCACACTGGCTGAAACGTTGCTTGGGAACAGTGAACCAACTTATGTCGATTCGATTGACACAAAAGAAAAAACGCTGCAGAACTGCCCCAGGTGGTTGTCCAAAAATTAGCAGAAGCCCTTGGGGAAAACTGAATTGAAAAGTGGTACAAAGTCCATCAAGTTCCCTTCCAGAAAGGAGCACGTTGTCACCTTGCGCCGCAACACAGGAAACCTGCCTGAAGACGAACCGGTGCTTCAAAAGGGCGTCTGCCGGGGACTTGATCATCACTCTCCTGTTGAGCATGCCACAAGACACAGAGGTAAACTTGGTAAGTGTTTGGAAAAGTTGAACAAGATAAGTAAATATATATATATATATGATTTGGATATCAAAGCAGCGGCAACGGAAAAACTCAAGCCCCTCCGCATTGTGATGCATGAAGCATGAAGCCACTCAGAGCCCCAGGCCTTGGCTCCGTCGTCCAAGTCACTGTCGTCCAGGTCATCGTCAGTCCAAGTCTTCCTCTGCAGGGCGTTTGCAAGAGCCTGGCTGAAGCCAAGGTCGAGTCGAAGCTCGCTGTGACAGACGCACGTTCCCAAGTGTGAAAGAGCAATCCACACTAGGCCCGAGAGCTTATATGAGAAGCTTTGGCCGCATGCTGAGACAACAACTTGAGACTCTGTAGATTAGCCCGGCGGAGAGCCAGCCAAGAAATTGACGCTGTGGGTTAGCACACAAGAAAAAACGTACACCTCAATCCACTTCGGTCATATTTGTCATCAAGTCGTCAATGGTCATGTATGGTCAGTATTTGCAAAACGTAAGAAAATTTGGCTCACCTCTGACCAACCTGGACCAGCCTTCGAATCGACATGACACTCACTTGAAGCCGATCTGAAAATGGTTCAAGTGAAAGCATCCTAAAGAGGCTATGCCTGGACACATCACCAACAACAAAACTGAAATCAAGCAAGCTACATCTACCCAGAGAAATTATCATCATACTTGGGATACCCCTTGATATGGGCTACATCTAAGCCAAAGAGCCCAACACATCCGATACAGGCCAGGCCTGAGCTCCCTCGGGACCGATGCCATTCCGTGCCAAATTCATGTCCCGCACGGAGCTATTGATCTTCAAGGCTTCCGCGAGAGCCTGAAAGAAACACAAGACATCAAAGATCCGGGTCAGCAACTGCAACAAGTAAAATCAGTAAAGAGACTTGGCTCGCCTCTGACCAACCTAGACCAACGAATCGACATGACACTCACTTGAAGCTGATCTGGAAACGCTTCGAATGAAAGCATGTCAAAGAGACTAGGCCTGGACACATCACCAACAGCCAAACTGAAGTCAAGCAAGCACATCTACCCAGAGAAATACATCATTCAGACTTGTGAACCCCTTGATGGGTGGTGAGTATAAGCCTAAGCCAAAGAGCACAAAAAAATCCGATACAGGCCACGCCGAGCTCCCTCGTGACCGATGCCATTCCGTGCAAAATCAGGTCCCGCAGGAGAATTGGCTTCAAGGCTTCCGCGAGAGCTGAAAGAAAGAACACAGACATCAAATGATCGGGTCAGGCAAACTGCCAAACAAGTAAAATCAGTAAAGAGACTTGGCTCGCCTCTGACCAACCTAGACCAACGAATCGACATGACACTCACTTGAAGCTGATCTGGAAACGCTTCGAATGAAAGCATGTCAAAGAGACTAGGCCTGGACACATCACCAACAGCCAAACTGAAGTCAAGCAAGCTACATCTACCCAGAGAAAACATCATCATACTTGTGATACCCCTTGATGTGTGTTGAGTCTAAGCCTAAGCCAAAGAGCCCAACACATCCGATACAGGCCAAGCCTGAGCTCCCTCGGGACCGATGCCATTCCGTGCCAAATTCATGTCCCGCACGGAGCTATTGGTCTTCAAGGCTTCCGCGAGAGCCTGAAAGAAACACAAGACATCAAAGATCCGGGTCAGCAACTGCAACAAGTAAATTAAGTAAAGAGACCTGGCTCGCCTCTGACCAACCTAGACCTACGAATCGACATGACACTCACTTGAAGCTGATCTGGAAATGCTTCGAATGAAAGCATGTCAAAGAGGCTATGCCTGGACCCATCACCAACAACAAAACTGAAATCAAGCAAGCTACATCTACCCAGAGAAAACATCATCATACTTGGGATACCCCTTGATATGGGCTACATCTATGCCAAAGAGACCAAGACTTCCAGTACAGGCCGGGCCTGAGCTCCCTCGGGACCGATGTCAATAAGTAACAAATTAATGTCCCGCACGGAGCTATTGGTCTTCAAGGCTTCTGCGAGAGCCTGAAAGAAACACAAGACATCAAAGATCCGGGTCAGCAACTGCAACAAGTAAATTAAGTAAAGAGACCTGGCTCGCCTCTGACCAACCTAGACCTACGAATCGACATGACACTCACTTGAAGCTGATCTGGAAACGCTTCGAATGAAAGCATGTCAAAGAGACTAGGCCTGGACACATCACCAACAGCCAAACTGAAGTCAAGCAAGCTACATCTACCCAGAGAAAACATCATCATACTTGGGATACCCCTTGATATGGGCTACATCTAAGCCAAAGAGCCCAACACATCCGATACAGGCCAGGCCTGAGCTCCCTCGGGACCGATGTCATTAAGTAACAAATTAATGTCCCGCACGGAGCTATTGATCTTCAAGGCTTCCGCGAGAGCCTGAAAGAAACACAGGACATCAAAGATCCGGGTCAGCAACTGCAACAAGTAAAATCAGTAAAGAGACTTGGCTCGCCTCTGACCAACCTAGACCAACGAATCGACATGACACTCACTTGAAGCTGATCTGGAAATGCTTCGAATGAAAGCATGTCAAAGAGACTAGGCCTGGACACATCACCAACAGCCAAACTGAAGTCAAGCAAGCTACATCTACCCAGAGAAAACATCATCATACTTGTGATACCCCTTGATGTGTGTTGAGTCTAAGCCTAAGCCAAAGAGCCCAACACATCCGATACAGGCCAAGCCTGAGCTCCCTCGGGACCGATGCCATTCCGTGCCAAATTCATGTCCCGCACGGAGCTATTGGTCTTCAAGGCTTCCGCGAGAGCCTGAAAGAAACACAAGACATCAAAGATCCGGGTCAGCAACTGCAACAAGTAAAATCAGTAAAGAGACTTGGCTCGCCTCTGACCAACCTAGACCAACCTACGAATCGACATGACACTCACTTGAAGCTGATCTGGAAATGCTTCGAATGAAAGATGTCAAACAGACTAGGCCTGGACACATCACCAACAGCCAAACTGAAGTCAAGCAAGCTACATCTACCCAGAGAGAACATCATAATACTTGTAATACCCCTTGATGTGGGTTACGTCTAAGCCAAAGAGACCAAGACTTCCAGTACAGGCCGGGCCTGAGCTCCCTCGGGACCAATCCGGTTATATTCCAAATTCATGTCCCGCACGGAGCTATTGGTCTTCAAGGCTTCCGCGAGAGCCTGAAAGAAACACAAGACATCAAAGATCCGGGTCAGCAACTGCAACAAGTAAATTAAGTAAAGAGACTTGGCTCGCCTCTGACCAACCTAGACCAACCTACGAATCGACATGACACTCACTTGAAGCTGATCTGGAAATGCTTCGAATGAAAGCATGTCAAAGAGGCTATGCCTGGACACATCACCAACAGCCAAACTGAAATCAAGCAAGCTACATCTACCCAGAGAAAGCATCATTGTACTTGTGATACCCCTTGATGTGGGTTACGTCGAAGCCAAAGAGCCCCAGACATCCGAAACAGGCCGGGCCTGAGCTCCCTCGGCACCAATCTCATTACCTGCCAAATTCATGTCCCGCACGGAGCTATTGGTCTTCAAGGCTTCTGCGAGAGCCTGAAAGAAACACAAGACATCAAAGATCCGGGTCAGCAACTGCAACACGTAAATTAAGTAAAGAGACTTGGCTCGCCTCTGACCAACCTAGACCAACCTACGAATCGACATGACACTCACTTGAAGCTGATCTGGAAATGCTTCGAATGAACGCATGTCAAAGAGGCTATGCCTGGACACATCACCAACAGCCAAACTGAAGTCAAGCAAACTACATCTACCCAGAGAAATTATCATCATACTTGGGATACCCCTTGATATGGGCTACATTGCGGCTACATCTAAGCCGAAGAGCCCAAGACATCCGAAACAGGCCGGGCCTGAGCTCCCTCGGGACCGATGCCATTCCAGTCCAAATTCATGTCCCGCACGGAGCTATTGATCTTCAAGGCTTCCGCGAGAGCCTGAAAGAAACACAAGACATCAAAGATCCGGGTCAGCAACTGCAACAAGTAAAATCAGTAAAGAGACTTGGCGAAGCGAGATGTAAGGGGAACATGGGCAAGGGAGTGAAGGTGGCTCTGAGTGGAGTTAGTCAGGTGGTGAGTTGGATGGAGTGGGCTGGGCGGAATGAGATTGGTGAAGTTTGTTAGAGTGAGTTCGTTGGATTGCTAGAGTTGGATAGAATGAGTGAGTTGGATGGAGTGAATTCAGTGGAGTGAGTTTGATCGAGTGCAGTGGACCGAGTTGGATGACTTGAGTTTGGTGGAGTGAGCTTGGATTGAGAGTGCATCAAGTTGGATCGGTGTGAAGGCGAGTTTCCTATTCCCAGGTCCAGCCATGTTCCAAGGCAACATGTTGCACTTCTAGCGCAAAATGATGGCAGATGGCGTTGTCTTGTGGGAAATCAAGCCTCAATCAGCCAGGGGTGTTCAATGGGCGGAACCAGGGTAATCGCTGCCTCCGACATCCCTTGCTACCGCAAGAAGTTGAAGCCGATCTGAAAAGGGTTCAAGTGAAAGCATGCTAAAGAGGCTAGGCCTGGACAAATCACCAACAACCAAACTGAAATCAAGCAAGCTACATCTGTAATCAAGCAAGCTACATCTACCCAGAGAAAACAGAATCATACCTGCGATACCTACGATGTAGGTTAAGCCAAAGAGCCCAAAACATCCGAAACAGGTCGGGCCTGAGCTCCCTCGGCACCGATGCCATTCCATTGCAAATTCATGTCCCGCACGGAGCTATTGATCTTCAAGGCTTCCGCGAGAGCCTGAAAGAAACACGAGACATCAACGATCCGGGTCAGCAACTGCAACAAGTAAAATTAGTAAAGAGACTTGGCTCGCCTCTGACCAAGCTAGACCAACCTACGAATCGACATGACACTCACTTGAAGCTGATCTGGAAATGCTTCGAATGAAAGCATGTCAAACAGACTAGGCCTGGACACATCACCAACAACAAAACTGAAATCAAGCAAGCTACATCTACCCAGAGAAAGCATCATAATACTTGTGATACCCCTTGATGTGTGTTGAGTCTAAGCTAAAGGCCCCAACACATCCGATACAGGCCGGGCCTGAGCTCCCGCGTCACCAATCTCGTTATATTCCAACTTCATGTCCCGCACGGAGCTATTGATCTTCAAGGCTTCCGCGAGAGCCTGAAAGAACACAAGACATCAAAGATCCGGGTCAGCAACTGCAACAAGTAAAATCAGTAAAGAGACTTGGCGAAGCGAGATGTAAGGGGAACATGGGCAAGGGAGTGAAGGTGGCTCTGAGTGGAGTTAGTGAGGTGGTGAGTTGGAGTGAGTGAGCAGGGCGGAGTGAGTTTGGTGGATGAAGTTTGGTAGAGTGAGTTCGTTGGATTGCTAGAGTTAGATAGAATGAGTGGGTGAGTTGGATGGAGTGAATTTAGTGGAGTGAGTTTGATCGGGTGCAGTGGACCGAGTTAGATGACTTGAGAGTGGAGAGCGTTGGAAAGAGTGAGGTGGAGTGAGCCAAGCCAATGTTCCAAGGCAACATGTTGCACTTCTAACGCAAAATGATGGCAGATGGTGTGGTCTTGTGGGAAATCAAGCCTCAATCAGCCAGGGGTGTTCAATGGGCGGAACCGGGGTAATCGCTGCCTCCGACATCCCTTGCTACAGCAAGAAGCAACTCCAGCTAGCTACCCGTGATATGCTTCAAATGACTCCAAGAGGAGGTCACCCAGCAATTCAGCGACCTGCCCTTTCTTGCTGTATCTGCGGTGAGAAAGCAATCGTATCAAGCAAGTGGATCAATGATCAAACAATCTGCTGCCTTCACCATGAAGCAGCCACTTTCACCGATGCCCCGGCTGATTTCAAGCGTCTCCGCTTGACTTGACGCCAAAGCCTGCAGGGCGCCAGGTTTTTTGAGGACAAGGCAGGGCAGCATTTTTTCCATGCAAGATCACACAGTTGGAATCATTTTGATACCGACATGTCTCCGGCCTTGACTAGGGACGTTGCCTCTTCCTCGCCACATTGAAACCTCCTCACCGTCAAGCTCTTCAGATTTTCGTAGTGTGGGAGCGCATGCGCTAGTGCCAAGATCTCTTGGGCCGGAAGGCCTTCCAACACCAAGTGTTGACATTCGATCACCTTCTCCCTGAAAATCTTTTGTTGCAAATAGATCACTGCATCAGCATCCGAGCGATGGGTGAACTTTGCTTGCTCCATTTGCTGCCTGAACTTCTCAGGGATCATAGGCACTCTCCCATTGAGATCATCGGATCCCTTCGTCTCAGCCTTCGGATCCTTCGGATCCTTCGGATCCTTCGGTCTGTCGATGTGTTGATGTTGTGCATTCACTCCTCTCAGAGATGACCATTCGATTTCTGCCATACACCACCCTCGCAGTAAGTATGGAGTTCTGTTGGCTTCCAAGAGCTTCAAGGGCTTCTCTTTCAGAGTCTTGCTGCTTGCATCATACACTCGGACAACAGCTTTTTCATCAGCCAGCATGGTGTTCCAAACATGCTCTGGAGTAAGGGTTTCGATCCTGAATGTCAAAGTGCATTCGTGAGCATACATAAGGTGCATGTTGTTCATCGCCTTTCGAAAGCTCCTCTCTTCATGTGAGTTGGTTCTTTCGTATTGGAAGAGCGAGCTGTAATCATAGAAGATCCAAATGTCTGCTTTGAATGCAGCACCGTACAGTCCCGTATGATTGACGATCTGCTGCAATTGGTGCCGACAGGGATCTGGATGTTCCCGGGTTTCCCAGGCGTGGGAAATGGAACAAATGATCGCCTCCTGGGTCCCATTGGCCCAATTTTGCACTTCTTCGTGCGTCACCAACGCACTCTGACGCTCGCCACCGCATGTGAAGGTCTCGGTTTCTGCTTCTTGCCGTCTCGGCAACGGCCGTTCGGAGAGAACCAAGTCTACCAAGTACCTCAGCGCAGATTTCTGCAAGGGTGCATTGGTGCATCACGTCTCATGTCAGACATGAACAGAAACATCTTTTGTCATGAGTTTCTGGCCTCTAGGGGGGTTGAAGCTGGCATTTGTGGCTCACGTGCTGAATTGTTCAGCTATTTGAATGACTTATGACTTGCCATCTTCATGTGAAATATCACTGGCTCTGTCCTTTTGGCTTGAATATTCACTTACAAGAAGACGAGGAAGACAAAGCATAATTCTTTGCGTGTATATAACCATTGGTCCTGCTTTGGCTGCAATCTAAGGATTCAATGATCGAGCACTTCCACATGCAAATCTGTACAGCACTGCACAGCACCGCACAGCACTGCACAGCACTGGTTTACTGTAGAGCACATAGCCACAACGACTGGGGGTCAAACTTGGCTCGTACCAACCGAACATCCGAATCTTGTAGGAATTGGGCGAAAGCCTGTGGATCTTTCAAGTTGTATCGAGCCTTGGGACAAATTCAATGGCTCCACACGAGGAAATCCTTCAAAGAAAAGATAAAGAAACAATTGCTAATATACTTTAATATACTCGTGTATCGTGCTGGAATGATTGAGCAACTGCATAGGGTGTACTCTTGAGATCTGTTAAGGCTGGTCTTCATACATGGACAGAATTCTTCCCCGGTCATGTGTCCACTTGGTACTGCTCGGAACCAGGCTTCTGCGTCGGCCGCTTTGGCAATGGCCTTCGTCAATCAATGAATTTGTGAGACAACCAGTCCCCATCCAATATGCCGATATTAGACGGTTCCAAGACCAATAAATGTGGGAATAATTGAATGAATAATGATACAAATAGTTACAAATACATCCAGGCATACATCCTACATCATTTAATAACCTAGGCGCATGGTGAACTGGTGGCCACAAGTGCTGTCTGGATTCCCTTGTGATCTCTCCCTCGGTGAAACAGTCTGGGATGCTCGAAGCATCGCTGCTGAGCTCCCGCGCTTCTCGCACCTGGGAGGCGACATCCTGCCTGGTCACGACTGCGTGGATGGGTTGTTCGCCTTTGCCTCTCTAAATCAACATTGGACACAGGGCAAGGTTGATTCATACGAGCGCACCATGCCAAGATGGGATTTTTGTCCCTGCTCAGTCGATTTTGGGTCCTGTTTGTTTGAACCACATGCGACATGTCCTGAAACAGAACTGGCAAAAAGCGAGATAATATTTGAGCGAGCATCGGCCATGTTCGCCTTTTCAATCCTTTTCAGCACCTGTAAGGCACCTGTACCACAACTGGGAGCCGTGAGCATCAACTGCTGCCCGCCTAGTTTTCGCTTCGGTAGGAATCGAGTCATCAGCTTCAACCTGACGAGGCCGCCAACGCTGACAAGGGTCCACATCAAAGAAGCATTGATACTCTCAGCTTCCACAAAGAAAAACGAACAAGAACATCTCTCTCTCTCTCTCTCTCTCTTCCACACGTTCAACTCTGGAAAGTTGTCAAACCTCGGCAACTGTGGCAGATTGTCAAGCGCTAATGTCCATGACTCAGTTACAGCATCAGAGGAGCTGCGGAGCATTGCGGAGCATTGCGGGGCCTGAGAGTTGCCAAGCTCCAAGAAGTACTTGGACAGTTTCACGATGTCCAGGTGACCGTCACCTCAGCTACGCTGAGCAAAACACCTGGTCGCCTTGACATATCTTAACATGTGTCTGGAAATCGCTTTTACTATGTACCCTCCGAAGACCGCTGCAAGCGGCTCAACACCAAAAAAAAGCACCTGCATCTGTGGCATCTATGGGTTGGCGGGTCTACTTGCGTGCAGGGCGCTGTTCCTCGGCAGCTTCCGAAGACTGGCCTTGATCCGTTTGGACATGGCCCGGCAACCATCCAATCGTTCAAGGCTCAGCTGAATACACGGAACGTTCACAGGATGTCACAGTTGGTTCTTTTCTGGAAAGGATATGGTATGGTCTATTGAAAGACAGGTGGTAAAGCAGTGTCTAAAGTCTAAGCATGCGTAAACCAGTTATGTATGGAATGACCAGGATTGGCTTTGCAGTCTTGTGACAAACTTTAAAGAATGGCAACCTCCAAATTCCATCGTGCAGCTCCCACCTGGCCTGGACTTTGTCCTGGTTCAGCTCACTTCCTGCGATGCCAACGTCTCAAAATGTCAACCTGCGGGTCCTAGCATAGACACACCAACAAGTAATTAGACCCGTATTACAGATTATTACAGTGGATGCTTTCGGATTTCTGCAGAGGTTTAGCTTGGGTCACAAACATCACAAATATGTCTATATGTTTCTATGTGTTTCTTCTTGTTTCTACTCTTGTTTGGTACGGTTTGGGAGTCTCTGCATGGCTCCACATGGACCTGTTGCTCCCTGACAGGACGTGGCTTCGATGTGCAAACAGACTTCATCAGGCAGCCAGGCATCCGTTGATCCCCTCGCCACCTTTTCGGCTGTTCCAAGCCCGTCTGATCCTGCCTCTCATCACTTCTTGCAGCTCTTCCTCTGACAATGCCCCTTTACCGTCCGTGTCGAACTGCTTTAGATAGTCGAGCAATTCCTGCGACAAATTGCAGAGACCATCTCCAAATTTGCAGCACATAGTGACAAGGAGCGAGTTGGAACCATGTCAAATCTTAACAAATGACAGCAAGCTTGGTGCATCTCTCATGGGTCGTCAGGTTGCTGGGCCTGAACTTTCGGAATCAGCTTTCCCAATTCCTCCTGCATGGCAGTTTGATGCAGCTTGCGGGCTAGAAATCCAAGGGTCTGACCCCTGTGCATATCCACCAGTGGAGATTGCCTGGGATTCCACCAAGCCTTTCAACAACTTCTGCCCTGGTTTTTTGGATCCAACAACTTCTGTCCTGGTTGGATCTTTGAGTCTTTAAGACACCCAAAAAGAGTTGCTTCACTTCTGAAACATTTGCAAGAGCCACATGAAGCACACTTCAGACTTCTCACACACATAAAACTTCTTCAAGCACCCCGGTTCATCTCAGTCCTCTATGAAACGGTGAAACATCTTTTGGTCAATGTATTTTGGACCACCGAGACCTGCCAAATGCTTTTTGACCTCATTGCAGCAGGGAGATAGAAATGATAGAAACACTTCAACAGTTTATGAACATTGGCACGAGAGGGAAGCAATAGTCTCAATAGTCTCAAGGCAAAACACAACAGCAGTAGTTGCCGTCAAAGAACCTCATCTTCCGTGGGGTTCATCCCAAGAATAGCCATGGCATGTCCAAGTCGTTCCGCGGGAACTCCAGAAGGCTGGGAGAAATATCTGAAGACAGCGTTCGTGGAAGCGATGATGTCGTTGAACATCGTGCTGTAAGCCTTGGCAAATCGATCCCAGAGGCGCATCTGGGGGCTGCTCATGTCTTGCTGGAGAACATGTGCAATTCAAAACACTTTGATTGAAAACACTGACATGTCTTCAGGTCGACCAGAGTGGGAGGTGTCGGAAAAAAATTGTTCACAGTTCACATCATTGAATCATACTACACTCGATGCAAGAACCGCAGATCAGAGTTGTCCACTTCATGACTTTGTAGGTTCCTTCTTTCTTCAGCAATTGAACCCTCCGAGAAATATTGCAGTGTTGCCGCAAGACTTTGCACCTGCCTTGAAAGCAGTAAGAAGCATTGAACATCTATCAGTACCGACGGATCTGAATCTTTTCATGAGAAAAGCCTCTGAGCAAGAACAGATTTGCTCATTCTTCTACCGGAAAGCCGGGTCCCCATCCAGCTGGGTATTCTGTATCTCAGGTATCAGTCGTGACCTAGTACTCAGTAGTCAGTAGTCCCACTCCTGAGCCTCCCAACTGCTGGGCCACTGGCGCTCTCCTGTCTTCCAACAAAAGAAGGAACCCCTTTTTGAGAGACCGCCCAACTGCACGGAATTCAATTATCAACTTTGGCCAAACTGCCCAAAAACAATTGGCTACATGAGCAGCCAACGGCTACTGTAGAAGCTCAAAGCACCAAAGCTTCAAATCCTCCAGCTCCCGCATGTGCCTCGGCATCAGCTGATACGGCATCTTTGACCACCTTGCAGCGCAGTCACATCCACTGTTTTGGTCCAGTGAACGGAGAAAAGGCTAAACTCAGCATGTGGACATGTGCCAAATGTGCTTGCTTTGATAGTGAAAGAAGTGTCTATAGTCTATATATGGTAAAGTGTCTCACATGGCCGCAAGTGACTGCAATTTTGAGATTCAAGCTGAGATCAATGTTATCTTGAATGAAACGTGCAGAAGTCTAAAGCAACAAAGCTCTACAGTAGCCCCTGGTCATTCATGCCTGAATTTCGACTGCTTTGCTATCTGCTTCACTCGCAGATGCTCTCTCTTTCTCTGCCTTGCAACTGACTTGTCAGGCCTTGAAACTACGTGCTGAGAAAAAGTAAGGTCTTGCTGCTCCACTGCTACATATTTCCATTTCCAAACCACACCAGGTCCACTGCTACATGCTTTTGTGGGCCACAACCTGAAGTGGAGCTTACAGAGTCTTGCTTAAGATAGTCTGGTGCCTTTATTCGAATTGACGTCTGGTTGTTTCTGGTTGAAGGTTGAATCACCTGGGCTAAGAGCCTCAGTCATGAGAACAATTCTGCCATGACCTGAAAACATCATGACGTATTTTCCCAATGTCTATTCTGTCTGAAAAAAGACACGTGCGAACATCTCCTTAAGATCGATTCATGAGAAGAAAATTGGAAAACGGTGAACTACTGCGAAAACCAAATACACATATTTCGCTATACAAATGAACAAAACGAATTCTGTTTGTTGCTTTGCCGTTCCCGGTGTACATCAGGCTGTCCTCCTGAATCTAAACTCAATGCAAGAAAGAAATGAAGGAAATGAATGGAAATGAAGCACTATATGTTTTGATTTTGTCACAAAATACGTATAGATTTCGATCGCAAACCATCGTAGTATATCGTAGGTCAATTCCCACCGGCGATTCCCCCAATGGCTGCCATGGCTGCCTCCGATGGCTCAAGCATTTCCTGCGGCTCAAGGGATGACAAGACCAGCCACATGAGCCCCAATAAGATATGCTCTCAGTCGACCAAAAAAAATTGTGATCCCAAAGAAACCGATTTCTGGTCGTGTGATGTAGACAGGGATGACAAGGGTAATGTACCGAGAGCCGCCTCATCACCCAGCTCCAGAAAACACGTTGCCAGCTCCACAATATCCAGCTGACCTTTACCTCCGTCAAAACGAACTGGGGTCCTCTTGGAAAATGGGTAAGGCTCAATTCAAAGCCCCAGAAAAGCGATGAGTTTGAACCATTTTTAAACATTCACCATCCATCTTTTTGGTGGTACCCAATCGACCAGATCGGAAAAAAAGCACTTCATGACTTGGCAACTTGGGAAGATGTGGTGAACGGATGTGGATACGGGTTCCATCAAACACTTTGGCTAACCGTCAGCTTGTAGCTTGCATCCGGGTGGCTGTTGCTTGGCATCTTTGCGACACTTGCCTCGCGACCCGGCGGAATCCCAAGCTGTCTAGGACTCTGCGAGTCGCTGGTGAGAAGAAATCGTGGTGAACGCAAGGCCGACTTCTCTTCAGTTTCTGAAGAAAGGAAACTGAAAAACACCGGACTACCAAAAACAAGTGTGTCACTGAACAAGTGAAAAAGTGATTTTGGTTGTTGCTTTGGCGTTCCAGTTGCAGACCCTCGTTGCTGCAGTTGCTGCAAGTTCTGCAAGTTCTGATTCTTGCCCAACAGGCCTGGAGCTTCTTCTGGCTCAGCTCACTTCCTGGACGCAAAATGTCCGATTTCAACCCACAAATTGTATAAAATCCCAAAGCACCCGGGCATCAATCAACCTAGCATCATTCATTCGCTCTCTCAAAATTCCATCATTCGATACATCCCGGAATACATCCGATGGAAATCCTTTCCTGACACTTCTGATCTCACCGTGCCTCTGATCGCTGCTTGAACTTCTTCAGTGGACAAGGCGCCCTTGTTGTCCGTATCATATTGCTTCAAATAGTCAACCACAGCCTGCGCATCTCACAAGCAGCACATACCAGTAGTCTCTGAAATCCGCAAAAATTTGGCAGCTTTAGATCTCAAGGAGTCATTACAGTTTGGCCAGGTGCAAAGGCAATCAATTTGGTTGTCGTCATTTGACTGGCCTGAACCTGTTCGAGATACTTTGTCAATTCGTCCTGTGCCGTGCTGCTTGCAAAGCTATGCAAAGCTGAAAGAGAATCGGTGAAACAACAGGACCATCAAGCATTCTCAAGGCACAATGTTCAACTCACACGAATGACACATCAACTTCACGAAGAATCAAGAATTGGACCATTCCCGAACTGTCCGACTGTCCTGGATGAAACGGTGAAACGTCGCTTGGTCGATGTACTTTGGGCGACCAAGATCTGCCAAGTGTTTGTAGACCTGATTGCGGAAGCTCAAAACGCAAAGGGACAGTTCAACAACAGACCAAACATGACCAAACTGTCACAGGGAGGTGCGATTTCTTCAAAACCCAAAAGCCCTATCTGCGGCCAAAGATCCTGATCCTCCGTGGGGTTCATCCCCAGGATCCGCATGGCCTGCCCGAGGCGTTCCGCCGGAAGTCCTCGAACTCCATCGCTGAAGTGCCCGAAGACCAGGTCGATGGAACTCATGATTTCGTCGTACAGCTTGCTGTGGACCTCGGTGAAGTCCCCCCACTGAGGGTCCATCTCGGTCAGCCCAAAGACACACAGGGAGGGTAGGAATACGAGAGATGGCAGGCTCAACATCAGAGTCTGAGGAAGATGCGTTTGCAACCACTGACCGCCCGTACAGAAATAGCGGAAACCACGAAAGATGAGCTTGGAATATGGTTCTCTGTTCCCAAATCTGGTGCAGAATTTGAATTCTTCTGGTGGCAAAAACCTCCAAACCAACAACCTTGCTGCGTGCAGTGTGAGAACCTCGAAGCCAAGCAAGCTAGTGAAGACCTTATCAAAAGTGCCAGCACCATGCAACACGCTTCCAGCCCCTCACCTTTTCCTAAGCCTCCCAACTTCCGGGCTGGTGTGCTCCTGTCAACCATACGGCTTCACGAACATGTCTAGCAAATGTCAACATGTTTTATGACACCAAGCTCCTGGGCGGTCGGCATAATGCCACTCCCTCAGAAAATGCATAAGCTGGTGCTGAATGAAGAGACTTTGCAAACATCAGCAGTGCGACTTGATTCCGTCGTAGTTTGGCGGACACCAAAGATTCTTCTGAATCCAAGACAGATGATTTGGAAATTTATTGATGTGAATGGGAAATCAACCACAGGAATCGGACAAATCGGACAATAACGTTGCATCCATCACTCAATAGGTAATACTGTACGAAGGGTGGGGTTTGGGCCGGTGCACATGTTTCAACTCAACTATTGAAATGCAATCAAAACACAGAGCCAAAAACACCAAATAGATCCATAGATCATGCCATGTTCAGCAAACCTTCCAGCCAAAAAAAAGTTCAACAAAAAACGTCCGAGGTTGATTTCGAAAGTCTAAGACTGCGACATCCTTCTGTTTGGTCCGCCTGCGAAAACGCACAGAGTGACAACCTCATCTCTTTAAAGAAACTGTCAACATCACGCCATGAGCAAATCTCGCCATGTCCAAACCTCGAGCTGAACGCCAAAAAAATTAAAGTTTGACATGAAAAAAATGCAAAAATGACCAAATGTTACTTTCGTCTTGAAAACGAACAGCTTACTTGGCTTACTTTGGCCATTTCTTCAACCAGTCGAACTTGAAGCTGTTGAAACAGCAGTTGCTGGATCTTAATCTAAATGAACTCCAAATGAACAAACAAACGGCCCACGTCACTCTGCCCACGATACCCGTGTGCACCTCAGCAGTATTTGCTGACACAGCACGTTTGGCTGCCTCGCCATGTAGGTCAAAATGTTGTACGGCTGAGGTGCAACATGGTGCAACCACACCACAAATACGCAGGCACGGGGACACAAGCGACAACCACTCAAAGTGGGAGACGAGGCATGACGAGGCAAAGGCAATCAAAGGCACTGGCTCAAAAAATACTACAGAATAGTACAGATATGTACAGACATGCACAGACAATAAAATGATTGTGTGAATCAGCTCTGCCACTCAGAAGCTCTTGTGGGCCTGAGATGAGCCGCCAGAGCCCATGACTTTGACGTCCTGGGAGTCGACAACTCGACAACCCCACCACCAAAAACCGGAAGTGTTCATGGCTTGATTATCTACGGGAAAATCATGACATTTGTGCCATGACATTTGTGCAAACTCCCTGGGACCCCTATTGATCGTAGGGGATATGTGTGGAGATGGCCCTCTTTGGCGGACCGGCACCATAGTTTGCATATGTTTGCATTGTTCATGTCTTTTCTAAGCATGCCGGATGTCTCGAGGTGCAGGTCGCCTGATTTTCAATGTCTGACGTCATGTGTTTGTCCCATTTTGTCCCATTGGACCTATACTCCAACTGCTGGCCAAAAAAATCAAAAAAGAACAGGAGAAATGGAGAAATATGGAGAAATGTCGATGTCTCAAGATTTCTCAAATTGAAAATATGTCGAGATGTCGAGATGTCGAGTGTGGTGATCTAGGCATCTAGGCCTGACAAGCTAAGGCAGCCGTCCTTTGAGGAGGTCGACTCGGCGGTGAAACGCCTCGAAACGCAGAGACTAAACCTGAACTGTTTGGGTAACGGATGCACCATGAAACCAATGGAAACACCCCTGGGGAAAGACTGGAAAATGCATGAAAGTGCATCATTGGACCTGTGATTGCAATGGAAATGCAATGGAATCTACAATGTGGAATCATGTGGAACCAATATGAGCCTCAGCAAGAATATGTACCGCTGAGAGGACTGTCAGCAATCTGCGGGACAACTTGCCCTATGCACTTCCAGCTGCGGCTCCGCGCTCTGGCTTTGCGCTGTTCCAAAGCCAAACAGGGTGAGCTCGGAATCGCGTTCAAAGAAAACGACAGAGAAAAACTTGTCATGACAAGTGAGAAACCCTTTGCTACGGCGAGTTTGGAATCTTTGTTTGACGTCTTTCCAGTGTTCCTCTGCGGACGATCGTTGCACCTGGACCTGGATCATCCTTTGATCCAAGGTTTGGCACTGGTATCCGGCAATGGACCAAATGAATCACACTCAAATTGGGAGAATTTTCGCGCCAATTTTGCAATGACCTATAATGACGACCTTCTAATTTTTGAATGACCTTCCATTTTCTTTGCAATTTTTGGAGCTGCAAACTGCAACAAGTCGCAAAGAAGGCCCAACTGAGAGTCGTTTGTTCGGGTCCCTCAAATACTGAACAAATGAATCCGTATCATTTCTGCGACTTCTTGCCAAAGTCCTCAAACCCAAAACCATCCTCAAACGGACAGCACGATGACACGATGTACGATGTTTGTTGATCCCCAAGATACGTTTGGGAGGCCTTCGGAAGGTTTCACTCTAGTGAGGTCCTCAGAACTTGTTGGGCCGGCCCGTGGTATCATCCGGGTTTGATTTCCCAATAAGGACTCTCAAAGTATCGCATCAAAGTGCTGCCCAATTTGGGCATCCCAAAGCACATCGCTTGGAAAAAAATGACATGAAACACAAGGTCCGCATCCACTGCAACCGGTGCAACCCTTTTTTCTCAGCGACGAGCAACGGTCGCCGGCTGTGGCGATCAAACAGCAAACGGCGTGCTCAGCAACAGCCGGGTTTGGGTTGTCGCATGCCTCTGGCGCACCACACTCTAGGGGGATCATTGTGATGGTCATCAAAAGTCATCCACCAGACCTATCTATATATTTATTATGACATACATTTACATGTTTTAAGCCATCACGTTTATCCACATTGGGGTAATTGATTTTGGATGGCATGTGGGAAACTAATAAAACATACGTTTGCTAAGAGAAATATTCAAATACATTTATATACATGTAGATACATATAATATATATATATTGGTTGAAGGGATGATAATTGTGTAATTACGCTGTATTCAGTTGTAAGGTATTCTCCCAGAAGCACAAGAACAAATTCTCACCATGGAACGACCCGAATGGCGCATCCTCGACTTTCAACCAGCGAACCATGGCTTCCTTGCTATCCTTAGATTCTTGTTGGATACGCCACAGTGATTCATCCTGAGCGGTTTTATTTTCTATAGCGGTTCCATGGGGTGAAAACAAGTTAAATGGAGGCAAAACCACCGGTTATGGGTCAAAACCCGTCAAGACCCTTCTGTTCTCACCAAAACAGCTGGGAATTCAGGATGTTCATCCAACCAAATCATCATATTGATGGTTATATATATAATATATATATAGACAATATATGATATGTGTATTATACAATTACGTTATACTGGTATGTCCTCTATTCCATTATACCCCCATTTTTGTTGGTTAAATTCCAATCAAATATGCTACCGGTTTTGATCCATATGGTACAAGTGGAAGGGTTAAGTCATAGCATTTCGTTTTAAGTCATTGCAGGGGGCTTGTTTTCGCATGGAAACGCTGCGAACGTTTTAAGTCATAGCAGCTCCGTTTAAGTCATAGCATTTTTATGGTTTCACCATGGAAACGCGTACGGAATGCAATGGATTTTAGGATCCTTGTTGTTCTGTTTAGCATGGCCTGACGGTGAAAGGTATATGTCCAGGGCATGTTTTGCACATATGTTTTGTGTACAAGTTACAATGGAAACGCGCGTTGACGATGGATATGTTGGGTACAGTTCATAAGTGAAAACCCAATGTCACAGACATGATTTGAAGATGTCTAGGAACGGCAATTGCGATGCCAAACACCATGGAAACGCGAGCGCAGGAACCATGGTCAGATTACAGTTGGTTTTTCACGGACAGGGCAAGCAAAAGCAATCAACAAAACATACTAAAAAAAGACCAAACAAAGGCTGGTCACGAACGAGGTCAGAACGAGGTCCGAACGAGGTACCAAACGAGGTCAAAAACTACCCGGGACAGACCCTTACCCAAATCCTGGAGCTGGAAGATTTTCGGCTTCAGCTAGCAGTTGTAGTGGAATACGCTCAGCCAAAAACGAAAAAAACAAATACAGAACTAAGCAAAGAGCGCGTGGAATACGCTCATCCAAAAACGAAAAAAACAAATACAAAGAACCTCGAAAAAAAAGAGCACCGCATGGCACACACTCATCCAAGAGCAAAGACAACATACATGACTAACCCAAAATGTTTAAACGTGATACACCAGAATACATCACTTTACATACTATTTCATGCTATTCTATCATATTTGAACCTTACCAATCCTCACAAACATATATGTTGCGAAAACAAAGCAACGCATGGTAGACACACATCTAAGCATAGAAACAACATACATAGCTTATCCAATATGTTATACTATGATGCTCCCCAATATGCCTTTCCGCAAGGCAGACGCTCATCCGCTACGACTTAACACACGATGCAAGGACTTAACCCTAGTACCTAGTACCATCGGAGCAGAGTCCTATTGAAACCCTGTCATTGCAAATCAATGCCTTGGTCTTTGCAAAGCTCTTGGTTTTCTGCTCCCGCTGCATCTCCGACCATATCCTAGGTCGCTTGTTGTTGAGCGGTGGTTTTCTGACATGGCCAGGTTGACTCATGGAACATCGTCGATAGTCAATCTTCCAGGTTGACTTCCCTTGAAACTTGAAGTGCAAGAAAAACACCTAGCAACTCTTGAGACACGGGATATTTGGGGCATCTAAATCCTGTCACTCGTTTAGAAGGTGGCAAGTCTAGAAATGAGGCCCGCATGCTGGGTGACCATGATAACTCCAAAAAGTGATTGAGTAGAAACTATGGTCACTACCAACTCAGAAGTACAAGCTTAGATACTCATCTCGCGAGCCCAACCGTTGCTGGGACATCCATCATTAGATATCTGCAGATGATATCATCCAAAAAGTACAGT